TTGTAAACAGATGCTGGGTGGCATGTCTAAAAACCAGGTAAAGCCTAGACAATCAGGTAATACAGCAACCCAACTTCTAACTCATTTTTTACCTAAGCAGTCTTCTCAGTGGCTCATAATCAAATATGATACAACAAACTAGAATCAATTTGTTTGCTTTTTTCAAATCACAGCCAACATACAATAGAATAAGTCTAGAATCACAGCATACATCAAATATATCAGAAGGAACAGCTCATTTGTTGAATGTAACATGTGATTCATTTATTAACTGCAGTCATCAAGGGCAATTTCAGAAAGGCTTGTTCATCTCTTGATCCCTAAATCATCTGAAGCCATTGAACCTAATGGCTTAGACAGGACATCTATATCACTGGTAATTTCCCCAGGTACTATACCTTTTAACTGATGTGCTTCACTCTATTGAACTTTATTATTTTTACTATCTGTCAAATAATCACACTTTGTTTAGTAATCATATATGTAAGCACATTTATGTCCCGCCTTCCTGTTATAGATGCCACCAGGGATCTCATTGAAATACTACTATCCCATTGGTAGTCTGAACTAGAGCACACTTACTGACTCAATGGGGCCTACACTGGCCATTCAGCAACTGATTCAACAGGGCTACTCTTAACTCGAACTAGCAATAGGACACAGACCATTGTATTACCTGTGAAAATGTCTTTTATGCAAAAAGCTTTCAAACCAGGTGTTGTGATCTTGACTACAGTGAGAGATCTGCCTAAATATTCCAGCAAGTTGATGAAAATGAGATGGTACAGTTCCAGCCCATCAGGTCTATTGAAAGACCAGTGGTATCAGATCCCTTTTGTCTTCAAAATATTTCTAGCTGGCCATTATAAGAATAATGATTTAACTTTAAGAAGGGATTCCTGAGTTTGCACATTTCCTCCTCCCTCTTCCCTCCCCATCACCTTTTCCTTTTATGCTGTTGTGTTTTAGATTATAAGTCTGAAGGCAGAGACTGTCTTAATTTTATTGATCATACGTAAATCATTCTGGAAGCCTTTTCATCCTAAGATTGAGACTTTAAAAATTGTACAAATAAATAAACGACCTATAATAGAGAAATGCGACAAACAGGGACGTATGAGTCATCCCAAGATAATGGAACTGAAGTGGCGTATATGAAGTTGTGAGTCAATCCTTAATGCCATTTTATTGCAAAATATGACTAAACCATTTGGCTACTAGAAGCCAATTCTGCCTAATCACACATATCTAAACTATTTTTACCGTTTCTAAAGAAGTATTTCATGCTGCTTCAGTAAAGCCAAAGAATTGGCCAGTTCTGAATTATGGCTTTAGTTGTTCTGGCAGTTGCAGAACAGCACAGCATGGGGTATGTGTGTCAAAAATCCTAGAAGTTACATCAGTATCAGGACAGTATTAGTAACCCCATATTCCATATTCTACAATCCATTACAGTATTAGCATTATTTATATGCACTATCAATGTTCCCTGTTCTTTACAAAATGACATAAGCAAAAACTAATCAACCAAGCAAAAAGTATCTTGCTCAAATAAATTATCATCTAAATGTTGATGACAGTGAAAAATAACAGAAAAAGAGGCAACAAAGTATCATGTCAAAATGCTTACATGAGGAAATAGGAAATCTGATACCCAGAATGATTTTGCTTATCTGGCAACAACCTGCACCCATTGTACTAAATGCCAAAGGAAGTCAAATATATGTCATGGCTCACAGTTGCTATCTTCCCACCACCACCACCTCTCAAGTAACAATAACCTGGAAATCACAGGTTAGAATCAATTTCTAGTTCAGAATTTATATGATGGATGTCACATGACCTGGAACAAAACTATAACATCACCAATCAGACCCCAAAGAATCTGAAAAAAACAAACAAAGCAGTCATTGACTATTATACTTTCTTGTGTACTACATCTTTAAACACAGGTTACGTGATGTTAATGTTTCTGGCTCGATGAAGATCTAATTTACTACCTAAATTAACCTCAAGATTAATGAAGAATTGGAAATCCCCAAATCTTAAGGGAAAACAAAGAGAAAATCTGGCACATCAAATAAGGGGCGGGGGAATACCTTGGATCAAAAAAGAATGAAATAAAATGGGTATGTATACAAGGGGGGGAGTAGGGGGCAGATACATCTGGAAGATAATACAGTATTGGAGGCTTTTTGGTTTGCAATTTAGTCTCTTTTTCTACAATGCTACATTGGCTCACCATTTCCAACTATCTGACCTTTGATAACTATTCCTGCATAGCCTTGAGTTACTTGGCCAACATTTTCCAGCATGGCATTTACTTGCTGACAACAATAAGAGAAACCAAGGCTGAGGAGTGTGGATTATACGTATCAATAAGGAATCATTTCAAGAGAGAAATTATTCTTAGAGCTAGGAAATTAGTACATGGATAATGCAGACATTTTTCTATATTGCCCAGAACAAGAGATCTAGCCTGGGTACAATGACCACTTTGATGACACATAGAAAAATAAAAAGGCTACGTGGGCAAGATGTTCTCTCTTTCAAGGATGCAGAGATTGGCATTTCACAGCGATGACATGCTCTCTTAAAGAAAATCCATGCAGATGAGAAAATGCTTGTGAATGTTAGCTTGTGAATGTTAGCATTAAATGAGGGGTGGTGGTGGAAATAAGAGCATCTGCAGGAACATCAGGCACCTGGCAGAGGAAAATGACTTCCTGGTTTCATTATGTGCCATTGTACAATCAGTAAATGCATTATTACATTCATTCAGATTTATTTTACCTGCATAACAGTATTAGCATATACACAGCCAAAATTCTCCCATTTCTAGATCCTGTTAAAAGCCCCTTCAAAGGCTGGCCTCTATCTACAGTACAACTGTGTTACCTCATTCAGTCCTGTAGCAAAACTCCTATCAGTTTAATGAAGAATTATTGACAGTTCCCAGTGCCAAAGACATATGACCAGACCTTCCTTTGTAATGGAAGGAGCAGAACAGTCTTGCAGAACAGACACAAATCAATTTTTAACATGTCAGACTTGTGCATTATTTATCATTCTGTGCATTTCCTTTCTCTATGAACTAGCAACTTTCCCCAAGCAGCATATCTGTATTCAGAAAGTGAAATGAAAATTGGGGAGAATGATAACAAAATGATCTCTCTGGGTGTCTCTGCTATCTTTACAGGCACACTATTTGACTTTTCTTTCCTTTTTTCTGGTCTCACGGATTTCTCAATGAACGAGCTGTTTAGCTTAAGAGCCAAGCATAGCTGCATAATCATAATCCTTTACTACCGCCAAAGCTAGCTCATTGAAACAACAGCCATGCCTCCAGATAACAAGGAAACTAGCGTCACCTGCTATTCCTAACCATGAAGCAATTTCAGTACCATGAGCTGTGGACAGCAAATGCCCTCAATCTTCCTCTCAAGGCACACAAACAACCTGAGAAAACCATCTTTTCATAGAGATCTTCAAAATATAGTCATGATTACATGTACATGGGTTATATTAGTATGGATTATGGTCACCACACCATTTAAACAATAATGTTTTCTTTTAATACAAGACAGAAAAACACATCATTCTGTAACTATCTCTCAAATGTTTTATAAAATTGTGATTGCTAAATATGACCCTCATAGGCAACCAGGGTTGTGACCACTGTGTACATGGACTACAAACATGCACAGACAAATGGCCTGACATCAGGAAAGGAGATATCCACAACCTGATTTGGCAATAACGCCACCAGTAGCCACTGAACTGAAACTTGTCTTTGAGCTTGTGATTCAAAATATCTACATCCCTCCCCCAACATCCTTTCTGATTTCATCTCTGAATTTCACAAAACATTCTCTCTCTTCACCAGAAATGCACATCAATTAGCTCTAGACACCTAAGTACGCAGGAACAGCCAGGCCCTTGTCATACCTTACAGGGGGTTTATCGGTATAGTATATGCCAAAGTGTGTGTGGGGGGGAGAAGGTCATGAATGTCTAAAAAGTGTAAATGCAACCAATTCATGTTTACAAACACATACATCGTGCAGGCACACTTTTTGAGGAGCTGCGATTGGTTGAAGAGGTGCAGGGTACATGTTGTAAAGGTACAATGCCTCCTCAGAAAAGGAGTCAAGACTGGTGTTGTGAGGTGGGGCGAGGAAGGAACCAGGCCTCTTCCTTAGTGGCTCCTTCCCCAGGCAGTGGCAAGTAGCCAGCTCTGGAAGGCTCCTCATCCCTCAGAGGAGAGCAGCTCCCTAAACATCAATCCTCTCCCTTTCCTGACACCAGCCGCCCTCCTTTCTCTCCCATTCGTCTAGCTACCCATCCACCTGCCATCCCTGCTTCCCCACCACACCACACCATCCTCCTACGCCCCCAACCTTTCCCCACCTCCGCCCTGAGCCGCTCCATCTCCCCGGAATCCTCCTCTAGAGGAGATCTCTCTCTCTCTTTCTCTCTCTCTCTCTCTCACACACACACACACAAACACATCCATCATCTCTCCAACGCCCCTTCCAGAGAGAGCTCCGCCAGGACTCTCACTCTCTTCTGAATACCTCCCCCCCCCACTCGATGGGTGTGCACCCGCCCGCCCGTCCCCCCCCACCGGCACGGAAGCCGCTCCTAAAGGCTCTCCACCCCAGGCAGGCAGGCCCTTCCTCCCCGGTCAGGATGCGGGAGCCTTCCTCTTTCTCTCCGGGGGACCACGGGCGCTGCCCCCTCCCCTGGCCAGTCCCTAGGATGGCAAGAAGAGCAGGCGCCGCGCCAAACTGCCCGGATCCCCTCCCTCTCGCCTCTCTGCAGCAGCGGAGCCTTGGAAGCCCTTCCTCCCAGCCCCGGCCCCGGCTCTCAGCAATGGAGCCCAGCCAGCAAAGGCGAGGGATCCCAGCAGAAACGCAGACAGCCCCCCAAAGCAACCATCCCTATCGCAGAGGAAGCTGGAGAGGCGCAGGAGGGCGGGGAAGCAGGGGAAGACTCACCGAACATCTGAATGTGGCCCTTGGTGATGGGGTTGAAGCTGCCGCAGGCCAGCAAGATAACGTGGGTCTTGGTCGTCTCGGTCATGGTGGCCGCGGGCTCGCTCCTCCGTCCGCTCCCTCCGACCCTCTCTCGCCGTCGGCGTCTCGCTTCTTTTTGTGTGTGTGACTGCGTCTGCAGAGGGAGGGGAGGGGAGGCGAGGAGCTCCCAGACGCAAGCTGCGTTCCTCCCTCCTCCTCCTCCTCCTCCTCCCCTTCTTAACGCTTTCGGTGCCAGGCGAGGGTTGCTGTGAGGTGGGTGGAGGGTGGGGGGAGACTTGAGAGCAAACGAGGACCCTCACTGAGTACCCAGTGTTTGACATCTGGGTTAGAGACCTGGAGCGGGCAAAAGATTTCTTGGTGATTTGCACTAGAGGAGTGAGGATTTCTGAATCCCTGTTTGACAACAGCAGCCGTTAAGTTTATTTACTTATTTAAAATATTGTTACTCTGTCTTTCTCCTAAAGGGCCCAAGGCAGCTTGCATCTTAAAAAACACAATATTAAAGATTTAATAACAGTGTATTTAAAATGTTAGGTCCTCACACCCTTAGGAAATTTAGGAATGACCAGGAGAGGTTGAAGGAAGGCATTATTCCATTCTGGGCCCAGAATTAAATTCATAAATGTAAGTAGTTTTGCAGTCGTTTTGGACAGTGGGCCTCGTAAACAAACAGACAAAGCAGGATCTACAAGTGTAATTCTGCTCTCCACTGCATAGGACACAGATTCATCGTCCTAGGTTTATTTACTGAGGAGGAAGTTTCTATGAGTTCAATGAGAGTTACATCCAAGTGTACATGCATAAGACTTACATATCTCCCCCCTGTGGAGTTGATCTGAAATAATTACCACAGAACTCACAGGTCTTATTCACACAACTACTAAACTAATTCTCATGCACCCACTGGGATAAGTGGGACACTCACTCGTGGTGCTTTTGGCCTAGTATCCTAATCCCTGCTCTTTTCTTGCCACATCTCTTTAGCAAAGGGATGTTCCTCGTCTAGTGCATGGGTTACGTTTTCCTGATGGGAAACATCATTGCCGATCCCTAGCTGAACACCATGACCACCTCTTTTGAGATTGCCTGCATTGCTTCTTTAAAGAAACCAACAATTTAAGGTCCAGTCTAACTTACAGCATATTTATGTATTACCAACAAGAAAGCCCCAGGTTTTGGCCTAACCCCAGAGAAAATATTGTCCATAGCACCATCTCTCCTAGGAGCAGCAGGTGGAAGCACATGCTGGAACTTGTAGAGATAGGCAAGTGGGACAGCCTGGTCCTACCAAAAGCCCACAGATCAAAGAAACAGAGAAATGAAAGGTCAACCCCCGTTTGGACTCTTGTAGACGTACCGTAAAGGGACGTGTTGGCGCTGTGGGCTAAACTGCAGAAGCCTGTGCTGCAAGGTCAGAAGACCCGCAGTCGTAAGATCGAATCCCCGTGACAGAGTGAGCTCCCGTCACTTTGTCCCAGCTCCTCGCCAACCTAGCAGTTCGAAAGCATGCAAATGCGAGTAGATAAATAGGTACCACCTTGGTAAGAAGGTAAAACGGCGTTCCCTAGTCACGCTGGCCACATGGCAACAGAAACTGTCTTCGGACAAGCGCTGGCTCTACGGCTTGAAAACGGGATGAGCACTGCCCCCTAGAGTTGGACACGACTGGACTAAATGCCAATGGGAACCTTTACCTTTACCTTTAAACGTACCGTGCAGTTTCTAGTTCCAAATTAAAGAATTCAGAATTGCCCTCCTTGTCTGTTTCAGGTCCACACTTAAATGTAGTAAATTCACAGTCATTTCCACATTTGAGCAATCTTTGTTCCGTTAAAAATATTACTTTCCTGGATTTCTAATCTGGCGCAAAATCGTGAACAGGTTTTCCACACAATGGAAGAACATGCTTTAAAACAAGCAGTAAGACTTGGTTGCAGATAAAAGCCCTTTCAATTCACCACAGCAATTTCTGGCAAAGCTCTACAATTCTACAATTATGATGATGATTACAGATCCCAGCAACAATATTCCAACTGAGATTTCTGTGTCCCTGCTGTATAGAACAAATGCTCAAAGAGTGAATACATAGAATACTGTGTGCTCTGTTTTGGCACTTCAGTTTTTAATCATAATAATTATGTGCTATCAAGTCAATTCTGACCAATGGAGATCCTTCTTAAGCTTTCTTAGAGTACTCAGAAGTGGTTTACCACTTTCTCCTTATTTTTGCTGAATTCTTCTGCAATAGTGTGAGAAACTCCATTTCCTTCCATTACCCTTCGAGATGTGCTTAATATGTAAGAATATGCTGCTAATTTTAATTTGAGTTTTAACTTTGATCCTATGATTTTGCTTGTTGCCTCACTCTCTGTTGCCCTTCTACTGGTAACAAAATATCTTTTTATTCAGGTAAGATGTCAGCAACTGGGTAGGTGCTGAGGAAGGAGCTTTCTGTGGGTGGATGTTTAACTTTCATATGCTTTATCATTCATTTTGATTGAATTGTTGACAAGTATTAAAACATTTCATGTTGTTCTTTGCATCTGTTTCACACTGTTGTGAAATAGTTTGAGTTCCAGTTTTGGGAGAAAGACAGGATATAAATAAACATTAATACAACTTTTTTTTTAAAAAAAAATCCTCTTTTTGCCATCTTTTCCTCCCAAAGGTGACATGCCCACCTATATATGAAGAGGGTCACGGCCTGTTCCAACATATTACCAACAAACCTCTATCCTCTGCCATTTCTTGCTAGAGGAACTGGCAAACTAAAATGGTTGCCTGACTGGAAATTACAGTGATACTAATAAATGTGTACAAAAATTGTTAACTGTATAATATATTATGATGGCTTTAATATTCTATTTGTAGGTGTAATTGATTTTAATATGTTAAGGGTTATATATTTTTAAACTGATCTTAATGGTTTATTGGCTAGATTTGTTTCAACTAGTCGTTCTTTTTCTGATTATCATAAATTGCTCTGAGCACAACTCTGTAGTGGAAAGGTGGGGTAGAAATATTAGTAGTTGTTGTAATATTGGTATTACTTTCATTTATATAATACTTTTTACTCCTAAACCCTGTTAGACCTGTTGTTATGAAAATACCTGAAGTGGCACACACACAGGTAAACACGATAAACTTGGATAAATGCCTGAAGTGCATTACAGTCTTCAGCCTATAATACACATAACAGAACTGTCTTTCAGGTTGTAACTCTGGAGCCAGTGACTTTATATTAGTATTAATTTTCATGAGTGGCTCCTGAAGCCCACTTTGCTAGAAGAGCAAGTTTAAAAAAAACTCTTCGGATTAGTAAATGTAGAACCAACTTTGCTACATGAGTCCCATCTCTGTGTCTTCCTTTTGACCCATCTGAGGGTCAACTAGAGAAAGCAAAAGCAGATTTCCATTTTTTTCTGATTAATATGTTTCCCCTCCCACATAAGGATTTCTTCAGAGGTACAGTACTGCCTCATTAAATTAGTCTTGCTCATTAAGCATGTGTTTTCCTTTCAGTGATCAATAACAAAAGGAAGCATGCTTATTTGTTTGTTTGTTCTTTTGTTCTTTTGTTTTTTCAGTGATCAATAACAAAAGAAAGCATCCTTATTTGTTTGTTTGTTTGTTATTTTGTTCATTTGTTTGTTTACACACCAAATGCAAGATATACCAATGAAGAAAAATCACTGCTTAATACACAGGTTTCATTACTTGAGGGAGCCTCTTTGCAAACAAACATACTAAGTGTATTATCAGGTTCAGGAGTGAGCAACTTGGGAGTGTTTGTGGAACAATGCTATCCCCACCCCACCCCAGAACTCTCAGCCACACAGACTGCCAAAATGCATCAAAACAAAACACACACAAACACACACAAACACACACATGCACGCACACACACACACATGGAAATTGATGTTTAGGTGTGTTGTTAAATAGGGTAGGATGCCCTGTGACCTGTTTAAAAGGTAAATCAGCAATTCTAGCAAGTTTATCATGTGCTGTCCAGTCGATTCTGACTTATTACATCCCCCATAGGATATCTGAAGTATATGAAATATTTAAGAGTGGTTTTACTATTGCTACCACCATTGTGAGTTTCTATGGCCAAAGAGGGGTTTGGGTTTGTCCAACACTCTATACCTTTATGACTTGCAATTAACTTGTCTTCAGAAGAAGGGGCTGAGTGTGGGGAGAAGCTGGCCCCAAGCCTGCACTCTGCCTCCAGGTTGACCCTCATATTTTCTCTTAAACCTTCCACTTTAATCCTTTAATGCCAGGTTCCATTTGTAACAAAGCTAATGTACAGTATATTACAGAAGTGAGTACACCCCTTACATTTCATAAATATTTTAGTATATATTTTCATGTGACAACACTGAAGAAATGACACTTGGCTACAATGTAAAACAGTGAGTAGTGTCCTGAGTTCAGCTGAAGAAGATCTGGAATCTGAGGGGTTAATTACAGCTGAGGAAAATGCTGGGCAATTAGAAGCACAGACAGCTGAATCACCACCAGATTCTCCTCCCCCACTAGCCAGAGTGAGGGATAAGCTTTGGCAGAGACTCATGATACAAAGGTCTGAGACTTGCATGAATGCTTTCCACAGGAACATCAGGTCGACCGGCCCTGAGTTTTAGCAGGATGGAGTGTTTTCTAAGAATTAGATGACTGCTGCTGCTATATAATCTGTACCCAGAGGCTTGGAAGCCTGTGGAAGCAACAAATCAAATCTCTGACTCGCATCCACGCTTCCGCTTATCTTGGACCTTGCTCTCTTGACCCTTGGCTTTGGACTCTGACTTATGACTATGGTTTGTGTTTTGGCTTTGGCAATTTGGCATCTGTTTTGTATCTTCAAGACTTCTGACATTGGACTGGCTTATTGAACTTTTGCCTGCTGAATCCCCTAGGAACGTGACAAGTAGACAGCTTGTATAACAGTGTAAATGTGCTGTCCCACTGGCAACAAAAGTGAGTACGCCCCAAGTGACAATGTCCGAATTGGGCCGAAGTAGCCATTTTCCCTCCCTGGTGTAATGAGAACCGTTAGCGTCAGAAGTCTCAGGTGTGAAGGGGGACCAGGTGTTACCGCTCTCACTCTCTCAGACTGGCCAGTGGAAGTTCCACGTGACACCTCATGGTAATGAACTATCTGAGGATCTGAAAAA